ATTTATTGGTTTGAGTCCATTAGGTTCATAAAATAAAATAAAGTGAGAGATGAAAAATTATTTTTAGTTGTATTTACAGAAAAAAATAAAAATAAAAAAAACAGTGATATATACCATTACCATGCCATAAAATTACTTTGATAAAACTTCATTTTGTGCATTTTGGAGCTTGACTGCCCAAGTCGCCATTCACTTAAAAAAAAGAAACAACAGTTTCGACAAAAATGTTAATTTAGGAGTGAACTACTCCTTTAGGATTTTTCTTTTTACATTTTGTTTCGTTGTGCAGATTATTGAAATGATGCACGAGTCTGTGAATGTGAATGTTAATCATCTCTGTATTATTCAGTCTCGTGTAAAAAGTCTTACAGTTTCGCTCATGGAACACCGACAGGAGTGAACGAGAATAAGATTCGAAGCAAAAGCAAGCCGTCCGTTACTCTCTCGCCTCCTGCTCCGTTTGGGCCTGTCCCATGGCGTGCGTTTCAGGCGCCAGGTGCTCTTCCATTTTAATGGAGAACATTGTGCTGTTGGTCTGCACGCTCTCTTCCAGCTCGGTCAGCAGCTCGCCCTCCTTGAAGTCCGTCAGGCCCTCGTCCTTATTGTTGTTGGAGGGGAAGCCCAGGGGCGGCTCTTTCAGCTTGCCGGCGTGGTTGATGTAGAAACGCTGGTTCTGGAAGAACTTGATGATGGTGTGTTTGGGCAGGTCCAGCTGTGCCGAGAGCGTGTGGATGGCCTCCTCGTCCGGATACAGGCCCACGTCCTGAATGAAGCTCTGCAGGATGCCCAGCGCCTCCATGGAGATGCGGTTGCCTTGGCGGCTCTTGCAGCGGGTCTCGTCCTCGATCTCGGCGGGCGAAGCCATGGAGGGCTGCCGTGGGGGCAGCCGCGGTCCCATCTGCTGCAGGGGCTGCTGGGATAGAGGAGGCTGTGAGGGGTGCAGCAGGGGCAGGGGCAGCGGCGCTTGGAGCTGAGAGGAAGGCTGTTGATGAGTCTGAGAGGGACGAGAGACAGACAAACACATTGTTAAAATACTTATTCGTATCCAACCACATAAGCTATTTTACAACAGTTCTGAATGCATCTGAACTCAAGTGTCCATTAATTATATTGCACTTATTTATTTGTTTGGAATAATTTGATCTATTGGATTAAGTCCATTAATATAATAAAACAAAACACTTAAAAAAAAAAATCTTTTTTTTTTTTTTTTTCCTTTTTAGTGTTGAACCACATAACTTTTGAATGAGTCTGAACTATATATATTTTTTTTATTGTAATTAGCTGTTTTTAGATTTAGGATTTATTTGATCTATTGGTTTGAGTCAATTAAATTTAAATAAAATAATATAATAAAATAATACAATTATTTGATCTATTGGTTTGAGTCGATTAAATTAAAATAAAATAATATAATATAATAAAATAATACAATTACTTGATCTATTGGTTTGAGTCAATTAAATTAAAATTAAATAATAAAATAAAATAAAAAAAATGCTACAAGTTTTTCAATGTTAAAATTATTTAGCATCCAATTAAAAAAGTTAGTTGATTTACAAGACTCACTCTTTTTGAATGAAAGTTACTCTTCTCAGTCTTATGTTTTGAACTCAAAATTTTTTGCATTAAGTTTGTAAAATAATAAAATAAAATGAAATAAAATAAAATACAAAATAATGCATTTTAGTGTGAGAGACGGCGAGATGAAAAATATTTTTAATTGAATTTCCAGCAAAAATAACTACATTGTGATATATTACCATGCTATAAAATTACTCATATTATGATATGTGATTTTGGTTACGTCGCCCACTTCTAGCAATCAGATGTGGGGATTTTATAGCTTTACGTGTTTCCGTTAATGCTCGGCTGTTTACACGAATGCGAACTCTTTCATCAGAATATTCGCATAAAAGCGCCGGTCTGTTGATTGCTTATCAAGCTCTATTCAAAATCTGTTGCTTAACACAGTAAATGCAGACTCAATATGTGGCGAGATCTCATTGCGCGAGAACTGTGAGTGATGTGCGGCATGAGAGCGTTATCGGTGTCTGTGTTTAGGCCACTTTCACGTCGGTGTAAACACATGACACATTTGCTCTGAAATGCGCCATTGTTTGCGAGTTTAGGCCATTGTAACCGGCAGCTGCAGTTTTCCATACACCATACAGACTGCTTTTCCTGGGACATCCCCAAGAGGAACGGCAATGCTTGATAACATTTTTTGTAAATATGTCAGTCTCCTGATAACATATCAAAGACACTGGAATACAATGGGCAGAAATAAATGGTACATGAGCATGTTGTCCAGCAAGATTTCTGTACATCAAGGTCAACATCTGACATGTGTTAAATAAAATCTGAAGTACAATTTTACATTTTGAAGCAAATAGTGAAGAAAAATAAGTGTTTGCTCATGCAAAAGTTCTAGTAACAATGATACTATGAGGTTGCGGTCCTTCCTTCAATGCAAGTCTATGGAATTAGCTTCACATTGTAAGATCTTTTTAACCGTGGTAAAAATCACTGTAATGCAAGGCATCTCATGTTTTATGGCTTTATTGTGCATGCATTTAAATGTTCATTTATTTAAATGCTCGGTAACACTTTAAAATAAGGTCTTAACATTAGTCAATTCATTAGTTAATATGTTTTTTTGAAGTGCTTATTCATAGTGCATTAATGTTTAAATGCAACTTTTTTAAATTAAAAATCTACTACTGAAGTTGCAAAAAAAAACATCTAAAATAAAATTGTAAAATAAACATCTTTCATGTTTAATTCATTGTTTCCTGCCATATCTATAATGCAGTAAATTGTAGCAGTAAATGTTGAAATTAACATGAACTAACATGCTGTAGGAGTATGTTTATTGTTAGTTTAATGTTAACTACTGTAGTTAACTGAAGTTAACTAACGAAACCTTATTGTCAAGTGTAGCCAAATGTTTTAGTAGACATCTGATCTGCAAATCTTTAAACCTCCAGCAGTCATGCACGGATCTCGTCGCCTTAAGTGGTGAAAATGGAAGTGAATAAATGTTTTTCTTCCCCGCATGCTATTTTCTTGGAATGACCATATGCTTGCGAGTAAACAAAATATCTGATCAAACACGCAGCTGTAACCACAAGAACTGTGGGATTTTTGTGATTAAATATGGATTCAGAATAGTGATGAATTTATTAAAAAAGCTTGCTGTCTTTAATATCTAAATGCAGACAAATGATGTTGCTAATGACTGTTTTGCTTACATAGCAGCAGAGCGCAAAATTACCAGCTTTTGAAAAAGTACAGCACCTCCAAACTTCAAATGATCAAAACAGACTTAATTAGACATGTTTTTTGTAAAAATGGCATTACCATATGGTTACCATATGTAAACCATTTCAAGTTGAATTACCAGCAAACAAAAAAAACTCTAATACTACACTCTCAGGTCACATTTAGGCACTAATATGTTCATCTGAGGCACTAATGTGCATCTTTAATGTACTAATATGCACGTTTTAGATTTAAATAATGGACGAAGGTGTACCTTTTGAAAGGGTTCCAGCCCACTGCTTTTGTACCTTTTTTTCGGAGTGTATATTGTGTGTGTTTGTGACACTGACCTGTAATGGGTCAGTGGGCATGTGCAGCAGGTGAGGAGGTCTGTCCGTATAGTGCTGCTGTCCTCCGTTACTCTCCTGCTCATATATAGCGTCCCGTTCCATTTGGGACAAACTGAGGAACCGGCGGATCATGGACAGGTTCTCCCAGAGCGTGCGGTTCTCCGGGGACGGGTCCTCTTTCCAGCGCAGCAGTTCACAGAGCCAGCCCTGCAGGAGAACACGAAGACGTGATGTGAAAAGCAACAACTAAACAATGAAACAAATACATTTCATGTTTCATGTCACGTACGCTAAAAGTTTGGGGTCGGTAAGATTTTTGAATGTTTTCGAAATAAGTCTCATGTGTTCACCAAGGCTGCATTTATTTGATTAAAAATTCAGTAAAATTGTGAAATATTATTATAATTCAAAATACCTGTTTTCTGTGTGAATATATAGTACAATGTAATTTATTCATGAGCAGCTGAATTTTCAGCATCATTACTCCAGTCTTCAGTGTCACATGATCCTTCAGAAATCATTCTAATATGCTGATTTGCTGCTCAAGAAATATTTCTGATCATTATCATTGTTGAAAACAGTTCTGCTGCTTTATATTTTTGGTGACTGTTGTATATTTTTATTTCAGGATTCTTTCATGAGTAAAAGTTAAAAAGAACAGCATTTATTTAAAATAGAAATCTTTCATAACATTTTAATAGTCTTAACGGTCACTTTTGATCAATTGAATGCATCCTTGCTGAATAAAAGTATTAAAAATCTTACTTTTGGCAATCCTTTAAACTTTTTTATTTCCATTTTGCATCAATTTTCATTGAATATATATATAGTGGAAAATTACATCAAATACAAGAGTATAGTGGCAATTTTAACATTACACCTTTCCTATATGTTTTTAATTCTTATATTTCAAGAGTTATGCTATGCATGGCTGAATGCATCCTTGCTGAATAAAAGTATTAAAAATCTTACTGAACCCAAACCTTTAAACTTTTTTATTTCCATTTTGCATCAATTTTCATTGAATATATATATAGTGGAAAATTACATCAAATACAAGAGTATAGTGGCAATTTTAACATTACACCTTTCCTATATGTTTTTAATTCTTATATTTCAAGAGTTATGCTATGCATGGCTGCAATGCAAAACGAAAACATTATAACATAAGGAACATGTTGGACATAATTGCATAATCAATATTCATGAGTCAAGCTACCAAGTTTAATAACTTCTCACGCAATACCTTTATAACTAAAGCCTTAAACAAACAAAAATATGTATGTGTGACCCTGGACCACAAGACCAGTCATACGGCTCAATTTTTGTAAATTTATCATCTGTAAGTTGAATAAATAAGCTTTCCATTGATGTATGGTTTGTTAGGATAGGACAATATTTGGCCGAGATACAACTATTTGAAAATCTGGAATCTGAGGGTGCAAAAAAAATCTAAATATTGACAAAATCGCCTTTAAAGTTGTCCAAATGAAGTCCTTAGCAATGCATATTACTAAGTATTAAAAATCTTACTTTTGGCAATTTTAACATTACACCTTTCCTATATGTTTTTAATTCTTATATTTCAAGAGTTATGCTATGCATGGCTGCAATGCAAAACGAAAACATTATAACATAAGGAACATGTTGGACATAATTGCATAATCAATATTCATGAGTCAAGCTACCAAGTTTAATAACTTCTCACGCAATACCTTTATAACTAAAGCCTTAAACAAACAAAAATATGTATGTGTGACCCTGGACCACAAGACCAGTCATACGGCTCAATTTTTGTAAATTTATCATCTGTAAGTTGAATAAATAAGCTTTCCATTGATGTATGGTTTGTTAGGATAGGACAATATTTGGCCGAGATACAACTATTTGAAAATCTGGAATCTGAGGGTGCAAAAAAAATCTAAATATTGACAAAATCGCCTTTAAAGTTGTCCAAATGAAGTCCTTAGCAATGCATATTACTAATCAAAAATTACGTTTTGATATATTTACAGTAGGAAATTTACAAAATATCTTCATGGAACATGATCTTTACTTAATATCCTAATGATTTTGGGCATAAAAGAAACAATACAATGACCCATACAATGTATTTTTGGCTATTGCTACAAATATACCCCAGCGACTTAAGATATTAATCAATATTATTGATTTTGTTTAGTTTGAGAGAGGAGTTTCTTCCTGAAAAGTACTAACGGATTGGTTAAGGAACTGGAAAAGGAATCAGAACCATTAAATTCCTTACAATTCCCATTCCTAATATAAGATATGGTAAAATCCTAGTTTAGGAAAGGAAAAGAGGAAAAAGGAGCTTTAGTGTGTGTTCCAGCAGTCGAGTCCTGGCACACTTACAAACGTGATGCCCTAATCTCCAGGCCAGTGTGTGGCAGCACCTTTCATTTCCACAGGATTACCCAGCACACACACACACACACACACACACACACA